CATGACTTTCAATGCAGTAATCAAATTCATTCATGCATTCATTTTATTTCCAATATGGCAACAGGCAGTAAGGAGTTCATCCTTCAAATGGAGACAACCTGATGCTGAGGCATCCATGAACAAGATGATGAATATCAATCAACTGTGAGTGACCTCTGACCTAACCACTCTATCCTATCCTCTTACTTTGTTTTACCTACTGTCATTTTTGTCTCCATCTTTCATTCTTTGTAAATTCTTCTTTATCAACAACTAGACCATTTTTACTCTAACCCTTGTCAGGGTTCTGTCCTACTGCTTCCTGTTTCAGGCTCTTATTTTGTCACCACTTCCTGTTCTAGGTTCATCTCTGTTATGGACTCTTTATTGTAATCAGTGCTCATTGCCTACACCTGTTTTCACCCCATTATAAGCAGACTTCTCCCACCAGTAACCTGCCAGGTTGTTCTTGACTCTGTGCAGACTTTCCAGCATTATCCTTGTTTGAGTGATTCATGTTCTTGACCCCAAATTGCTTCCTGACCAGTCTGATTTCTGCCTAGCCCTCCTGATTGTTGTATATTTACTCTGTGTACCGACTGCTGGACCGGCTTCTTTGACCTCCCGTTTTGGATCCCTTGGCTGTGTTCGTTCGCCGGTATTGACCCTGGACTGTTGTGTGAATTGGATTATGGTTTCTGGACTGTCACTGTGTATTCCCTGAGTGAGTGCAGTAAAATGATATTATTTACTCTATCTTGCCTGGCTTTATAATTGAGTCCACCATTAACATCGTGAGTAGCTGTACTGGCCAACCCTGACAACCCTCTTTTCTCTACCTTGTCTTCCAAAATCTGCCTGCTCTGCCAGTCTCGATCAGTTTCATGTTTTAATCTGCTTAATCTTTTTTCTGAAGCTGATCCATCTAATTTTTTTTTCATATTCCTTCCTATATCCTGTTGATATTTTTCGTCTTCATCGTCAGAGCTCATGTGAAGTGACCTACCAATATTTTCTCTTCTCAAGCATCTTTTTCTTCCCTCCTCACCTGCTTCTTTTGATGAACCCCTCCCTCTTCCCTTCTGTCCCACCATCTCAACTTTCTCTCTGCTTCCTCTCAGTTACAAGTCAGTCAAGTCAGAAAAAAGGATTTTTTAATCTCTTCAGAGGAGCATCAAAGAGGTACTGGCAAGTAGAATAAGAATAGACATTTGAAGCTATTTATAGCTTGCACCAAAGAATGCCCACCGGCCAAAACAATAGCAATGCCTCAGCATTGCTCATACACACCCATGCGCACAGCTACTGTATCCACAAAAAATGCTGGACAGCACCACCTCAGCTACACACACTTGTCCCTGATCGAGTAAACGGCATATGCAGCGGAAAACAATACCAACATCCAAAGCTATCTTTAAATAGAATGTCTTACTGATGTATTGATAAGGTGACCTGCACAAGAATAGAGCCAGAGAAATGAACAGGATATATTTCAACCTTTTAAAAGTTCAAGTCAGTTCAGGCCATTTCAGTGCCAAGCAAAAATTCTTGGTAAGTATGGTGAATTCATTAATTACAGAGCTTTGTTTCAGTGGATACAAAATCTTTCAGCTAACCATGTTAACACCGCCTTCCAAACACACACAGACATCTCCCACATACACACACTCATAGTGTAGCACATCACTGACAGCTGACTGATGTTGGCCTCTTGAAGAACAGTGATCATCCTTAATTACACATGTGTCACAGCAAAGGAGGAGGGAGAAAGGGAGACATAGAGAGGAGGGAGCAGGAAGAAGATATATAGTAAATGAGAGATGTAGAAATACAAAGTAAGGAAATTGGACAGAGGAGTATATATGAAGCTGAAAGTGGAGCAGAGAATCTGTGGGGCACAAGCAAGAAAAGAGGAATATGAAGATTAGAGCCCAGAGGAGATGAGAGAGAACAAATTGATGGGAGGATGAGAAGAGCTCAAGGCAGAGCAGGTCATGATGTATTGATCTCGACGTGTCTCTCCTGCAGCAGGTCTGACTTAACATTACCACTGAACCTGAGGGTAGCAGGCTGGACACATCCCCCCCCCCCCAGAATGTAGACACACTTCAAAAATATACACACCTGTGCACACCTGCTGTCAGGCTATTCTTAGTGTCACGGTAAACAATTTAAAAATAATTTTGCACTGCTGTTGGCTGTCATCAACTGTTGTCACCATCTCTTCAAAAATGTTATGCATATGAATGGGTATATATATATAGAGAAACACACCCAGCTCTCCCTCATGTGCATATATAAATATACAGTATGTATACACACACACACTCATTTCACACTTCATAACATTTTTGTAACCAGAACAGAAGAACTCTTCCCTTCATGTCAAAATATGTCTGCAAAAATATCCTCTCCTGAAACTAAACCTTGAGATTTGCTCCAGTGATAAGGTCTGTCCGCTGCTTCCTGTTTGCACTGCCTTTGATTGAATTAAATTTGGGACTGTTCATATCTGCATTTGTGATGATCACTGTCTGGTTTATTCCATTTTATTCAGTTAGCAACTTTTTTACTTATATTTTATTTGTGTTTGTGAGGATGATGGGAACCAATATCCTATTACACTTTCTATTGCCTTAGAAGCGTTCACACTTATCATGGCTTTTCAAGATATTTTAAAGTCCTCATTTATTCAGGGTCCATACAGTGCCAACCATTGCGCCCCGAGAGAGTGTGGCTAATACACCCATGCAAAGTCAAGAACGGATGCCTTTAAAGAAAGTAAATGATGTAAGAACACTGCAGACTATTTAGTTGTGATGCATTTGCTCACAACTGTATCACACCATTTTTATAATGTCAATGAATCTAGTGCTGTCATTGGCCTCTCATCCTGACCGACATATTCAGCACAAAGGACAAAGCAGAAAGGAAAAACAATGCACAGATAACAAAAAACCAAATAACTTAAGAAAGAGAAGTCAGTGGAAAGAGGAGAGGTGTTGTTGTCGAAGCATGAGGCGTACAGGATGTGATTAAATATGTAGGAAGGAGCAGCTCAGCACCAGAACACAAATCCATTAAAGAAAGTCCTGGAAAATGTGGTCAGCTAGAAATATAAATGTCTATTTCCTTATTGTGCTGGATACACAGACATGGCTAAAAGCACACACACACCTTCATATTCACAGTCTCCTGGTGAAAAGCCACACACTAATGTTCTCAGATGTGTACATGGACTGTAACACACTTTTTTGCTGTCAGAGCCTCAAGCATGCAGATATACATACATGTGAGCACTAAAACACAAGGAAACACATCTCCCTGTCATACTTTTTCCTTTTCTCTCAGTGCACTTAATGGTGTTTTGTAAATCAGTGACTTTGAACGTGTAGAAAACCAGCAAGACATTTTGTCTGACATGCAGTGAGTATCAGACTTTCAGGGACAGATGAGAGGGCTGAGTTAGCTGACTACTTCATCTGATGGTGGCTCAGCCTGAGATGTGCTGCTGCTCTGAGCTTCGTTCACGCACCATGATAGTAGCTGTGTTCAAGTCACTGAGTTGTCAGCAAGCTGGAGTTGTTTTGGAGAATTCAGTGCAATGTGAAGGTGCAATAGAAGTGAACTTGGTGGAAAAGAATAATCCACTATTCTTTATTATGCTATATTATTATGAATCATACACTGGCAGATTCACAAGATACTTTTGCCTCTCTGGCAGCTGCTACAGCTCAGGGCTGGCGGGACCCAGGAGACACACAGGATCTAATTTGCTTGTGGGAAGGGAAGGGAAACATGTTTTCCTATGTTCAGCCAGCCAAAAAAAAAACAACAAAAAACAAAAATTTATATTACATCTCAAATGTTTCAATAGTTAATACTTGCTATCAGTGGATCCAGGCTAAGTTATCAGAAAGCTGCAGTTCAGTGAAGATAGTAACACAAAAGACATGTTAAAAATCTATAAATGCATTCAGATATAAGGACATTTTAATGTGTTTATTAAAAGGTAGTATTTGTTAAGAATTCTAACTTCACCTATGAATACATTTTATAGTATTACAACTGTTTTACTACAACATATTGTCATTCAGTATAGATTTATACACCAGTTTCCACTCAGAGGCACTGACAGCAGATGTTACAGTTGCTGACAAAACATTTATAAGCACATATATCTGATTACAACACGGAAGTGAGTTATAAACAGTTTATTTAATGCTAATATCCTGCTTATGAATACTAAAAAGGATGTAAATTTGCAGCAGTTTTTCTGAGGAGTTTAAAGTAAATCCTTGCCTTTACTGTTTAAAATGAATCTAGATATTGTTCTTTTCAAGAATCAGTAATAATAGTTTTGCTTTTACCTTGACAATGTAGCCAATTACCAACAGAAGCTACTTTCTTGGTTGTGTTACAGTAACCTTAGCCATCACAACTAAATGCCAATCCCCAACTTTTACCCTAATCTTAACCCAACAAGAACCATAAAACAAAGTCTTAACCCACAAACAGCTTTCTGAAGTTATGAGGACCAGAATGTCCTCATTACCATGGTATCAAACTGTCCACACAACCATACAATGGCATGTACACACACCACTATATGAATCAAAACTGTTGTCCCTTCTATCCTCATCATCATTACTATCATTGCCACCACACCCATGGACCTCCATCGTTTCCTCCGCTAATAATCAAACTTCAACTTCTCTCCATGTGAGTCACATCCAGCTTGGACTCAGTACACATCGTTCCGTATTTGATACGCCGTTCCCCCTTTTCACTGCATAACTCCTATAAGCAGTATGAAGCAGAGCATGCAAGGTCTCTGAAAGCTAAATCACAGCAGCATGGAAACAAGCAATGCTGTAGCTACAAAAATGACGCTATGATAAGTTTAATAACAAAGAATGCCTTTTTAATTCCCCCATATAGGAAAATATATCTGATGCCTCCACGTAATTTTGCAATAATTACAGTGCACAATGCAGGAGGCGACTGAGGCGATCGTGTACCTGGATGCTGCAGGAGATCTCGGAGTCATCCAGTAACCGGATCGTGCAGATGATCTCCTGATCTAAGGAGCGAATGCTGGGGCTACGAAACCGGAGCATTTTCATCCTTATCACGGCTCTGTTTTAGCTCCTCATGTCAGCGGATCCACACACAGACCAGACTCACACGTAGGCTACACAAACTGAGGAGTCGCGCATACACAAGCATAGCCTACATGTATGTGCCTGTCAGACTTGTCTTAATCACCCCTTGTGACGCCCTGGGAAATGAATGGGTGGATGGATGTTTAAAAGAATGGATGGATGCAATAGAGCGGAAGGGAGGAGAGCTTGCAGCCGCCTCCTGCATGCTCACTGATAGATCTACAGGAGGGAGGATGGCTTTCTTGCCCCCTCCCCTTCCCTTCTCCCCATACTCACTCACCCCCGTTTTATCCTGTTTCCATATTTCAGCATGAATCTTCATATAGTGGCCTAATGATACCACGTGTAGTCTATGGTGTCAGATTGTCATCTGGTGAGTGTAAATCACCTGTGAATTTTTTTATTTCCTTTAAAATAACTTCATGGTTTCATACATTTAAAAAATCATATTCATTCATGGATATGATGCTACAGTATGTTCTTACAGGTTTGAAAGGGTGACTCAAATAAGCTGTGTGCTTTTTGAGCACAAGCTATAATTTAGTTAATTATTAGCCTGTTCATATAACCGTCACATGCATAGAGGAAAACAGGACCTTGTAATAATCTTTGTTCCACTGGTGCATGTATATGTAATTTGTATATATTACCAATGAGACTTTGAGAAAAGTTTATTATTAGGCTATACGTTATTTGATAAGATGGTCTAGTCTTATCTGTGAAATTATCTTGATTTCATCAAAAATAACGTCAAAAGGCAATTTAGCTAAAGCATAATCTGAACTGAACAGGACGCTGCGCCTTTAATTACGAACGTAGCCGACGTGCTTTGTGCGTCATCACGTACTTCAGCAAAACATCCTGCGGCAATGGGTCCAAGCGTCCAAGTCACTGTAGTAGGTTATTGCATTCAGGCACGTTTTTTGCCTCTTTTATACACTAGAGCATTTCAGGCAGACCTACTCTTTATGCCGTTTTCGGTAAAACGAGTTATGTTTAGCTGAAACAGCAGTTTATATGGTCTTATTCGCTCATCGGCTGACATGTCCTATGAAAGATGAAGTCGTGCGTCTGTGCAGGGTTTTTTGTTAATTAATTAGCGAAGAATTTGCGGAAGTACCACCGTTACATTACAGCCATCGGTCGGTAGGTTATATTGCTCAAATTTGAGGTAATCCTACTTGGACTTGAGTATTTTCTTTTCATGCCAGTTCGTACTAATACTTCCCTAGAATTTTGTGTGAAATATTGTACTTTTCTATCACTACTTTATTTGAGAGCTTTCAGTGTGGAAGAAAAAACAATGTATATAAGAAATATAATGTAATAATAAATTGTTATTTATTTGTACATCATATTTTGTATTTATGATCTGAATCTGCAACATAAAGTTAATGTAGTGGAGTAAAATATTTGCCTCTGAATTACAGTGCAACAGAAGTAAGTAGCAGGAAATGGAAATACAGGTTAAGATTTTTGCAGCATGCACATCTTATAAAATATGATGTTTTATCATAAATTAAACTGCCCATAAAGAGGTAGAACTGAAACCATTAGTTGATTGGCAGGAAGTTAACCAGCAGTGTTTAATAACAGTTACATTTTTAATGCAAAAAATAATTATTTTTAATTGCAATTTTCTTTTTAATATTTTTGAAGTTTTGAGTATTGGTTGAACAGCACAAGCTGGACTTAATTTTACCAACTAAACAACCAGTCATTAGGCCCTTTTCACATGATGTTACACAATGGCCACTGATCCCTTTGATCCCTCCTCACTTCCACTGGTCAGCATAATAAAAACAAAACAACCAATGGCTTTAACCAACAGTGTGGGGTTCAGTGTTTTGCCCAAGGACACTTCAACATGTGGACTGGAGGCACTGAGATTTGAACCTTCAGCCTTCTGGTTGGGAGACAACTGCTCTACCCACCGCACCACTGTCGCCTCCCCACTGAGGCACTAGTTCATACAGAATATACAGGTGCCACAGACATTAATGGATGATATTTAACAGATTGTAGCTACACTGATCAGGCATAATATTGTGACCACTAGCGGGTGAAGTGAATAACATTGACTATCTGTTACAGTTGCACCTGGTCAGTGTGTGGAGTGTATTAGGCAGCAAGTGGACATTCAGTCCTCAAAGTTGATGTGTTGGAAGTGTAGGGATCTGAGTGATTTTGACAAGGGCCAAACTGTGATGGTGAGATGACTGGGTCACAGCATCTCGCACACTGCAGGTCTTGTTGGGTGTTCCCAGTCTGCGGGGGGTAGTACCTACCAACAGTATCTAAGGAAGGACAAATGGTGAACTGGCAACAGGGTCATGGCTTACTGATGATGAGGTTGCCCTACTGTACATTATTAAACTATTAACTTACATTTGTAATTTTCAAAAGATCAAAATGTATTTGAATCTTTGTTAAAATGGTTGAAAATGAGAAATATTGTACATTGGTCTCTATGAAGAGAAACATTCAGAGGCTGTCGTGGTGATGTCACACCCAGAGTGGTGAGGCTGTTGAATTGGTCAAAAAAATTTCTAACTTGTCCTAAGAACCAATTTTCACTCCTTTTACATAAGTTTTTCAATGAATTGTAGACACATCTGTGCTTTTCCTGACAGTTTAACTGTGGAAGCAAATGGATTTACAGAAGATGCATAGTGAGCTGCAGAGTGACACGAGTGCCAACCAACTCCCACAGTGACTCCTATGTAAACAGTATTAGGCAGGTGGTCATAATGTTATGCCTGATCGGTGTATTTTTTTCACTGTTACCGGTCAAGCTTCCCCTTCAGCAGCTTAAGTTGGGTCTCCATTAGAGGTCAAGAGTCTTACAGCAGGACAACGCCCCAAAGCAGACTTCAAAAAGCAACAGAAATAGTTTCAGGCAATGCATTGTAGAGTTCTCAAGTGGCTAGCAATGAGTCGGGATCTAAATCCTAAAGAACACCTGTGGAGAGATCTCAAAGCAGCAGTTGGGAGAAGGAACCCTTCAAATCTTATAGACCTGTGGCAGTTGGAAAAAGAGGAGTGGGCCAAAATTCCAGTAGACAGGTGTAAGAAACTCACTGATGGTTACAGGAAGTGACTGATTTCAGTTATTTTGTCCAAAGGGTGTGTTACCAATTATTAGGTTGAGCCTGTCAATACTCTGTCCAGTCCATTTTTGGATTTCTGTGTAGAATGTATCAGGTTGGGCTTTAATTCTTTACAACAACACAAAAAAGCAGAGAATAAGTGATTGCAACTATTTTCTGGGAGAAGTGGTGTGTTATCTGACAGGAATGCAGGGGGGTCAATATGTTTGGCCATGACTGTATGTATAGTCTTTTTCAAATAAAAGTAAAATATGTAAAATGTAATATTTGCTGAATCTAATCAAAATCACTCTGAATCATACTGCATTGTATCGTTACAAATCTTGCTGTATCATTTTTGTATCTAATCATGGACTGTGTGTCAAGATAGATATAGAATCATGTGAGAGGGAGAGATGCACACCCCTATAATCCAGATAATAATCAGCAAATTATTCCATGGTGTTCTGATTACATGCAGTATTTTCTACAGTGTGGCATTAGTACTTTTACTTAAGGATCAGAAATCCTCCTCCACCATTGGTTAAATTAGAACTGATTGTTTTATGCCTCCTTGCATAATTATGTGTAAAGATTTGTTGAGAAGTCTATGCCAGCAGTAATAAAGGTACTTTGCTTCTTTTAGGTTTCAAAAGGATCAGAGACAGGATGATCTACATAATAATGGGAGTCTCAGGCTGTGGAAAGTACGTATATTTTCTGTTTGTATTTATTTGGAGCAGCTTTAGAAGGTGGACTCTCACATAAGCACACTGAGTAGAATATAACCAACATGCAGTATTTAAGTTTGAGTCACACAAGGAGAAACACACATAAATGGGAAGAATAAATGTGATCTTTGCTTATATTTTTGATCAACAGGTGGTGATTTATCAACTCTTAATGTCTCATTACATACTGTAAGTGGTTACAAGGTTACTGAGGAAAACAATGAGCCAACTACAGCACTGACCTGTAACAGATGTATTTTAACACCACAATAGTAGAGCAGGGCTGCAACATATTTTCAGTATCCAACATTCTGCTGATTTCTTTGAGTAATGCATTAATTAATCATGGTATCAAATGTGTCTGTTCTGCTGTGTTCCTTTGCTTATACAGAAGCACCTTGGGGGCATTTCTTTCAGATAAGGTAAATGGATCCCCACACACGCACACACACACATACTATTAGCCCCCTAATCGTGTTTGTGCACATAGTATTACAGGATCACTCACCTGAATGTGTGTTTCCACTCCTCAGCTGGGCTGGCCCCTGTATGAAGGCGATAACTTTCACCCAGAGGAGAATATTGAGAAGATGGCTCGGGGTGAACGGCTCACAGATCAGGTGTGTGTCTGTATGTGTGTCCCTGTCATGAGTAAATCACTATTTCAAACTTGCAGCCACAGAAGACTTGACAAGTAGCTGGAGGAAGCCTCTCTGGTGCAGACGGTGAAAACTGCAGGCAGCTTTTCCTAACAGCCCACAGTCCTAAATTTCAGTTGAGTCATTTGTTTTTATTTGTACAATATTTATCTGTTCACTGCCCGTGCTGACTTTCAAAATAAAGAGAGGTCTCCAAACAACTGACTGGCTGTCTGCCAAAGCTGAGTTTACAAGCTTACAGGCAGAGCAGCATTTGGCAGCAGTTTGCTGGTGGCAGTGTTAGGCGGCTGATGATAACCTCCCACTCAAAAATCTGCTTTGAGCAGCAGGGAGTCTCCCTGGGACCTGCACTGCTTTAGCATATTTTTAAGATACTCAAGAGTTAGAGAATAAATGACATGACACAGAAATGTAAATTCAGGATTACTGTCAGGCAGTCACAAAAATGTCAGAATCAGAATCAGCTTTATTGGCCAGGTGCATCAGACACACAAGGAATTTGACTCTGGTACATCGGCTCTCCTTCATGTCAGTGTGAGAGTTGGCAGGTTGAGGTTGGATTAACCAAACAGTGCATGTGTGTACTCAGAAGCCTGGATATAAGAGAATATGATTTCTCTCACTGGAGCTCAGCTCTTTGTATTAAAGTCTGTGTAGTATGAAAACCTGTGATTCTGGTCCAGCTGTAATCAGATTAGAACTGATTGTATTTCAGATTGCAGTGTAACCAAAGATGTCTGTCTGCCTGATCTCTGTAATCAATCGCTGAAATGTTTAGCAGAAGCTATTGAAAGTAGGCACTTAGAGGTAAACTCCTTGGAGGAGGAGAAGACATTTTGTTTGTGAGGGTGAAAAAGGCAGGAAGTCATTTTGTGCAGGCAAAATGCAGGCCAGCTAAAAGCAGGGAGAGATTGGCAAGTGAAAGTAAATAGGGAATCAGCTCATACTGTAGTTCCTGAGGAGACAGTCAGCACTAACCTCAGACCAGACGTTGTGTTGTGGTCAGAAATGCAGCTGACTGTATTTTGTGGAGCTTACAGTTCACTGGGAGGATGCTGTAGATGCAGCTTATGAGAGGAAAAAACTCAAATACACAGACTTAGAGGAGCATGGCTAGAAACTTAAAATCTGCCCCATGGAGGTTGGTTGTAGGGGATTTGTAGCCAAGTCAGCTGTCTCTCTGCTACAGTAGGTGAGCTGGTTATAAAAGGGCAGAGCCTAAGACAAGTAATTAGGACTCTAGCTGATAGTGCAGGAAGGTCCAGTGACTGACTCTGGAACAGAAGAAAGGTGTGTGAATGGAGTAAAAAAATAGGTAAAATAGGTCAGTGCTTTGAATTGTAAACTGGACGCTAAGTAAACTAGCATAGGAGGACAGACTTGACAAAATGGTTGATACAGGCAGCATGCTTGAGGCCTACTACCTGGTGTTAGCATGAGCAAGTTACCCAAGAGGACATATTAGAGGTCTGACTGGTTTGTTGGAGTGATTAGCAACATAGGGTGGATTCTGATGCAGCACAAAAGGAAGCAGTAGTTTGTCTAGTTATTTGGTGAGCTATCTGAAATGTTTGCTAGTCCTAGTGACTGTTTTGCTTGGGTGAGGAGAGGGCATCAGGGATCCTTTGTGTTAAGGGTAGGTTAGGTGTAGACTATGGTATTACCTATTGTGGGGTTCTGAAGATTTATGACAGCATAGCCTGACACCCGCCTCTTTGGGGCCAAATAATGGGTAAACAGCATTTGGCTCTTCCATTCTTTTGCACATTTGTGTATTATTGACTACTGATTCACTGAATGATTCTGTAAAACAATATTAAACTGAAAATATTGGCATCCCAGAAAAATCAGATCCACTATAAACACTTAGTGTATTATAGTTAGTTCTTCAAATGTATGTTTTTCTTATCTGACTGTAGTATTTTTCTGAACATCTTTACATAGGTTTAAGAATAAGTTTGATACAGTCTGGCTTCATCACTGCAAGCTCATTTCACTGTCTGTCCTGTAATACTCTGAAGTGCAAGGCTTGCCTCTCTGAGTGTATGTGATTTGATTCACCTACCCTCTTACATTAAAGGGTAAAGTCAGAATTTGTGTTCTTGGCAGTGATCCCCAAAGTGAGGGAGTGCTGTCTCTTGCTTTCCTCTGCAGCCAAAACACTCAAAGCTGTAAATCCCTGAAACCATGGAAATACTGTAATAAGATTCATCATCCTTCTCCAGGTTTAAGACTATAGGCTGTGTTATATCTTAAGCAAAAACCAGAGGTGAGGACAGGATTCAGGGATGCTTTGGTTAGGGCTGGAAAGTGGTGATACTGTGGGGCTGTGAAGATTCATGATACCAAGGGCTGCTCTGGGGCCAAATAATGGTGAAACACTGTTTAACGAGCTTTCGTGTCAATGGTCTTCCATTTTTTGACACTTTTAAATGTGCAGTATTGACTGACAGGCTGCATTGATATTTATTTTAGGCAAAAATCACAAAGACTTTTTGTAAAATTGTTTCAGGCATTTTATGGATGATAGACAATAGAGAGATGACTGGAAATGAGAAGACAGACATGCAACTCAGGTCCTCAGTTGAATGCAGAGTCAGACCTTAGGCCACCAGGGTGCTCCTGAACATTTCTTAAAGCGGTTAAGAACCTCTTCTTTAGATGACAATGAATCTAAAAAAGAAAGGTAACATACCAACTGGAAAATTCCAAGGTGTTTTTTTAACTTCTCACCATCATCTAATATCTATTACAATTTAAATATACTATATACTACAATCTCAAACCATTTTTACACCAAAAGCAAACCCTGTCATCATTGTTTGTTTTTCAGGACAGATTGCCTTGGCTTCTTAAACTACATGAAGTCATTCAGAGGTAGGAAAAATCCAAGCTCTTCCATCACATATAGGACATATTCTGTATGTATATACACAGGCATGCTCACATGGAAAACCTTTTTTTTAATGACAAAAATGAAGAAGTTGCAGAGTAGGAGAGTGAGAAGGAGCCGATACGCAGAGAGATAGCAATATGGAGGCATGAAATTGTCAAAAATATCAGATTTGAAAACCAGAGAGTGAGGAAATAGAGTCTGGAAGGCAGATTATGAGAGACTGAGAAGAGATGAAGGACAAGTGAAAAGTGTGCCATCTCTTTCTTAAAATGTCTGCAGCGACATATTTTTTCTTTGACTACCACACTCAGTTCTTGATCTTGCTTATCCTTGAGTCTCTTTTTCTGCTCACCACCCCCTCCTTTAGCTGTTTGTGGTGAGTGCACTAAGTTTTCCCGTTGTCTTTCTAAAACATTTTTCCAGTTATTCACATGACATGTCAACTGTTTAATAGTTATTATTGTCATTAGTCCTGCCTATATTCACCATCTGCGAATGTACATGTCTTCCCATCCCAGAGAAAGGTCTTCAGGCTGCAATGCTCTCGTGGTGTGCTCTGCCCTGAAACGCCTGTACAGACAGATCCTGCTCTATGGTTCCAAAGCCTTAAGTTCTTCTTCCTGTCAAGACCAAGAAATCCTGCCTCCCACTTTGACTGATGTCTTCTTTCTCTTCCTACATGGTGACTACAATCTCATTCACCAGAGGATGGTGGCCCGGAGGGGACACTACATGAAAGCAGATCTGCTCTGTTCCCAGTTTGATGCTTTAGAGCCTCCGTTAGATGAGGACAATGTGTTATCACTGGACACCAGAAAGACCTTCACTGATATGGCCATGGAGGTTGAAAAGCACATCAATAGCCTCAAGTCATCACCCATGATGCCGTAATCATCATATTTTCAAGGGTGTTCAGCTTTTAGTCATGCTATTAGCATGCCTCTAGAGACAGCAGTGTTGTCGACACTGAAATATCTCAACTAGTAGGGCTGCCACTTTTTGAGTTTTGAGCATTCGTTCAAATGCTGTAAAAGTAAAAATCAAACTGTAATGACCTCTTCGAATCCAACAATGTACACTGCACTGTCAATAAGTGCAGTAGAAGACTTGCTGTAATTTGCCTTGGGGTCCAAGAGAGGACGTTCTTAAAATTCACCATCAGCTTGACCAGTTAATGTCCTGTTGAGCTCTCACTAAAGTAAGCTAGTAACATTATGTTTACAAGGACAAAATGTGGGATAGTAGCTAGGAAGGTTGTACTGACTGGACCGTAATGACACCAGAGTGGTGGGGTCAAGGTAAATGGTTTGCCGACTCTGCAGAAATACTGCGGTCACCTACTTGGGTACAACAAGACATCTGAGGACTCGCCTGTAATCTTACTATCCAAACGAGGCACTGAAGTTAACATTACCACAGATGTGTGGAGCAGCACTTGTTCTGCAGCTTATTTGCACTAAAGAAGACCAGTGGGTTGAAATGTTGGCTACACATTCTAAATGAATCATGTAAGCTTTCAGTGTGTGGTCATTTTTTTTCATTTTTCTAGCCTTACAGCATGTCATGGTAAATCATTTCAACTTTGTAGAAAAAGTTTTTTTTTTCCTTAATCCTTGAAAAGTTCAACAACTTAGGTTCAGTTTGATTTAGAGAACACAGCAGAATCCCAGGCCTTTGGAAAGATGGATGTTTCTGCAGCTAACTCAAATTTTCATCTGCTTCATCTAACACTGATTTGTGTACTGACTCCATGTAATCTTCTGCATTCTGTTCTCAGCATTACAGGCTTTTCACTTGTTCCTAAATATTCTTGAGAACTTAACATCAGTAAATAGACTAGTAGCAAGTAACTGCAAGTCATTTTAATGAAATCATGCAATCTGTAATACTGAAGATTGTACTATAAGATCAGTTGATGCATTTGACAGTCAAACTACCTTCGTGCATAAAATGCCAAACTCAAACTGATTTTAAAGTACAATCGTCAATGTTAGACAGTAAATCTGTGAGGACAGATTTACAATATCAGGTCAAGCCTTTGAGATCTGTTTCCTGATCTGTAAGTATCTTCAGAAGACACAAACACAGATGACCAGCAACACAATGCTCCAACACTGTCTCTGAAACACAAACGCCCACTCAATGCTGTAGAGCTGTTTTTGTGGTGTGACTCATCTTCAAACCTCAACCCGAATATTTTAGGAGCCTCTAATCCAGAAAAACCCCTCTTGGCTACTCTCGTATCTTCACACATCCAGAAAAACTGGCACACACGTACACACACTGTTGAAGATTAAACCCCCCTCCCTCCAGTCTGGTAGAAAGAGACATGTGCTCTGTAAAAGGTAAAAGATATGTTTAAATTGATGTGGCTGGTAGACATGTCATCATAGTAAGCCATATCTCAAACATTAGGGCAACCTTTCCTGGCAGTGAATTGTACCTGACAGAAAAAAAAAAGTTAGTTTTACAATATGAATTTGTATTGTTTTTGTATGTATGAAAAACAACAAAGAGCTGAATAATCTTTTTAAGATGACAGTGTCACATTATATTCAGAGGTGTTCCTAATATTTTGACCCTCTGAATAAAATGTAGTCCAGTACAACACCACCTTTATCTATGACCTCAATAATGACCATATAATTGAATTTAAGACAATCTCACCAAAACCAAACAGCTTCATAAACACAAATGTTAAGGCTGAAGTGTGTACAGGTGGTCATAATGTTATGCCTGATCGGTGTATAGTTAAGTGCACAGAGTACCTGGATGTAAAGTACCGTTTCTTTGCAGCATCAAGGAAGAGCTCCAGAGCCACGGCTGCCTTGTTTCTGGCCATTTGGAAGATCAGAACCTGTGACAACAGAGTTAACTCAATCAGCCAATTCCACCAAACAAGTTTATCTACAGTGAATTTAAAAAATTATTCTATTTGCTGTGTTTCACTTGAGAGCAATGGTCAATCACTATGTTATGACAATGTTTGCCATAAACATTACAGATAGAACACAAAGCTGTGGCCTGTTGAAAGATACATGGGCGGAGTTAGTCCTATGTCGTCCGTCCTAGTTATAACAATTGCTCTGATCACAGAGACGGAAACCTGTACAAACTAACACATTTCATAAATATCATCAAACATGCAGGAAAAGTCAACAGCTCTTATTAAATGCACATTTTACACAAATAAGATCCATTAAAGAGCTATTGGATTCTTTATTCAGGTTTCTCAGTATATGATGCACTTTGAGGCTAAACGGGAGTTTTAATGACAACTGTTTTCTCTAATCAATTCATATTTCTTGCACATCTCGTCCTCACCTGATCTTTCCTTAATTTTCCTAGCCTACGCTTACTAGTCACATTAATGTAGTAACAGCATCAAACCCTGTTGGAAAAAACACTGTACATAAGTGCAATTGAGGCATCTGTACTTATTTTTAGTTTCTGCTTCTTCACATCTTATCATACCACCTTGTTACTCCACTAGATTTATTTGATAACTTTAGTTTATAGTTTCTTTTCAGAATTAGATGAATAAAAAGAAAATACAGTATAAGCCTAATCACGACATTTAAGTAATCTCTGGTGAGAAATTTACAAGTTACACACCAGAAGTTCAAATTTTAACCATTAAAATTATCCCTACCTTTACCAGCTACAGCATTAAAATGATGAACAGACTAATGCACCAGAAATTATAATCAACTAATATACATCAACATGAAATGTATTCTATTATTATTCTGCACAGTTTTGGTAATTTAGGTATATTTTGATGCTAATGCCTTTGCACTATAATTTAAGCAACATTTTGAATGTAGCACTCTTACCTGTAACAAGGCATCTCAGTAAAAAGACGGCGACTGGTTTGGACCTCACCTGGTCTTCATCAGCGCGGAAACA